CCCCAAAACCCCAAAACCCCAAAACCCCAAAACCCCAATCAATATTTTCTCGATTGAATTAATACTCTTTACACTTTAGTGTTTTCAACATCATTATCCTCAACATCTCTATGCCTAGACTCTGAAGGCCTTGAGACGATCTCAGATTCTGTTCTAGAATCTCTTGCTTCAAAATCTCTCATCTCAATGTTGGAGTTCATCTCAGCTCTGGAATAAGGTGTCTTTTCAAGAGTGCTACCTTCAAGTGCACCAAAGAGAGTGTTTCACTCTCTTTCAATGCTCTTAAAATACTCCTCTTTTGACAAGAAATACTTTAAAGCATGTGCTACAATGACTAGGCCTGCTAGGAACCCAAATATATAAGCTACTATCTCGATGATACTTCTAATCCTGTGAACTTGAACGACTTGCTTCTTGTCTCCTACTGAGGAAACCATTTCAATCTCAAGGCCTCCACTATTTTCTCCTGAAGGAAGAACTCTGTTACCCATATTTCTCTTATTGACTGTTGATCCTCTTCTGTATTCATCAACATAGATCTGATATCCTTCATAATTCTGGCCATCAATCTCACTGCTGTAATAAGTAGGCACCAATTCAAAGAATAATTTAGTAGATTCAGGACCTCTAAATGCAGATGTGACATTATGATTTATCTTAGTGATCCTGTCTGGAGTCAGAATTCCACTAACCTTAGAGTAAGCAGTAGGAATCCGCTCATAAAAGTCCCAGATATTCCAGTACTCCCATTTTATGAAATGGAATACTTGTGAATAGTCTGTTTCTATGTTGAACCTTGCATAAGCAAATTCTGCAGCTGCGTCTTCAATGTGCTTTACTAAGAGACTGAAGTTGTACTCTTCAGTCCCGTTGGAGAGCAGCTTCCTATTGCAGTTGAACTTTGTGTGTTTCCCAGGGATCATTGAGAAATACCTATCTGTAGAATGCTTTATTTTGCCTTTTTCTCATAAATCCAAAAGGGGAAGTTGCTTCATTCTTCTAGTGCTGCCTATAGTCTCCTCAGGGAAATCTAATGGGTCAACAAATCTACTTGTGTAAAGTGTGACATTGAACAAGTAAGTTGTAGTCATATCTCTGTTCATGAAAGGATTCTTAGTTTCAGATGTGGTCACCTGAGAATTATGCAAAGAATAACTCATGAAAAAGCCTCCTGAAATGATTAGTGATATCAGAATGAAGAAAATAACGATTACTCCTCCAAGAACTTGCCTTACTTTTCCTCCAGTAATGAACCTAATATCAAGCTCTCTGAAGACAAATAGCGATTTTTCTTTACAGACAGAGAAGGTGATAGCCATTCATATCACCAATCCTAATGTAGCACCGATAGAGAGGAAAATCACCAATGTTGCTGTGTTATCTCCCTTTATATCATGAGGATTAAAGAAATCAGGAAGTGTTTCAATTTTGACTTCGTCAAAGCTCTCCCTAAATTCTTCAAGAGGGAATTCATATTTAGTCCCTATTGGACAAATCTTGTCTTCATCACATTGTCTACAGAAAGATTGATGAGTATCATCATATATGAAGCCTCCTTCTCATGGAACGCAAGCTCTGTAGTTACCTCCAACTAATCCACTTGGGCAATCAAAGCAGAAAGATTCAAAGTAATCAGATCTATCATCTTGGTAATATTGGTTACGTTCACACCATTTACATGTGCCTCTATCATATATACTGCCTCTTGGGCATGGTGCTCAAGTCCCTGATATAAAGTCTTGAGTAGAAGAGCATTTAGTCTCAGGAATGCGTAAAATAGAATTAGATTGCTGATTATTTCCATAAGTTCCTCCAATAAGAATAGGATCTTGGATGTTTCTCACATAGTGCATGGTAAACCCGTATCTCCAGATTAGATATACTTGACTATCACCTTGAGACCCAATCTTTCTAAAGGTAATCTGATTGGATTTCACTATGATATGCCACAAATCAGTGAAGTATCCTTGACCATTAATGTCTGCTCCCCCATAAAGAATAACCATTCCATTTCCTGCTGATAAAGTTCCTGGGCTTCTTCTTGGAGAGGGAGCGTCAGTTCCGGTGTTATGGAGAACAACTGGTTTTCTAGTTCTGATATCATAGCTAATACTTTCGCTTACATATTTCTTTTGCTCATCAAATCCTCCAAAGATTAAGAAGGTATTTGGATCTAATATATCTACAGAATGGCCTGTTCTGCAAAAATATTCTTCATCGTAAGAGTTGAAATCATACTTAAGCCAGAAGTTGTAGAGTCTCCGTTGATCATCTTCGATAAAAGAGATGATTCCATCAAGGTCGAGTGACCAAAGATCACAGGCTACGCCTGTACTCATTGTACCTCCAGAGATAAATCCTGCTCCCATGTCTGAGTGGAGAACTGCTGATGCAAACATTCTTGCTGAGGGAACTATTCCTTGAACACCTTTCCTTCCGATTTCATGGGTATCGTCTGTGTTCATGATGAAGTGCCAGCGCTCTTTGATTATATCAAAGATCCAAAGGTCTCCATTAATCCTTCCATCATCTGTTTGCCCACCAAAAATGATGAAGAAGTTGAAGTAACAAATTTGAGCATGTCCAAATCTTGCTTGAGGTCTATACCCTCCATTTGGTTTTACAGATTTCCAAATCCTAGCTTTTGAGTCATATCTCATGATATCTCCCAGAATTTCTCTCTCAGTTCCCACTGTGGTCTCTCCTCCAAAGACCCAGATTGAGCCGTCCCAGGTCTCACATGCTCCATGGAACTCTCTAGGCGTGAAGAGTTCAGATTCCTCTGAAATGCATTCGATGGATAAAGGAGAAAGCTCCTTTATTTCAGCTCTAATAAACCCTTCAAATTTCCCCCCTATTGCTTTAATATCGACAATGATTGCAGAATCATTCTTCAGGTTACATAAATCATATGAAATATAATGAAGAACATAATCATCTTCCTCAGTTCTATAGATGGAGTCTTTGATATCAATTTCTTCATCAAGATTGGAATTTGTAATGTAAGTAGATACATCAACTAAATGATGCAGACTCTCTCTTGCTTCTGAGGTAACAGTACTCTGAACATCAATTGCAATCAAGTGCCTAGATGTATCAAGAGTAGGAAGTTTTGCATAGATATCTCTAATCTTTATCTCGGCTTGTAAGCTTTCTCCCTTTACCATTTCAAAATCTTCTTCAAAGACTTTTATACCTTGGTTATCTCTCTGTCCCTCTTGAGCAGCTACGATTGATATCTATAGAAGGGTTTTAGATGAATAAAACTTGGTTTTGAAGGAGATATCGACTACAGCAAAGATTCTTACATTTCAGAGCAATACAAGGCATACCAAAGCAAACATACTTAGTTGAATCTTTGGCAGTATATTCTTTATAGGTTTTATTCTACTCGTTATTCTTTCACAAAGGTATTTATTTGTAGTTCAAGTCTTTTGAGTCTGGGCTAGCTCTTGCGATATATTTCATAATCCTCAAATATTGGATTTGTCAAGATAATGAGACATCTTTTGCCACATTTTTAATTTATCAACCAAGTATTCAAATAACGGGGTTTTGGGGTTTTGGGGTTTTGGGGTTTTGGGGTTTTGGGG